CAATTGTAATACAACTAGTGACTGGTGAGAGGATAATATGTGACTGTGTTTGTGCCAAAGTAGCTGTAGCTATCTAAGGAAATTGCCACAAAAGTTGTCATTTTAAACTTGTGGCCTTCTATTCTCCATTGCATACAAGCATGTCAATATAGTTCTGAAGCAGTCTGAGGATTTATTATGATAGAAATTATGTATTTGCTTGAGAATGCTAGTGCTGTTTATGATACCTAATTACCTAGTTAAAAAAAACAATCATAACTACCCTCTTTCTGTATTTTAAGTATAATTTTGTTGCATATGGAAAGTGCTATTAACACAGATTATCACTTGATTTTACCATAACTGAATGGATTCTTGATATGAAAGCTAACTGAGCATGCAAGTGCACACACAACCACATGCAAAGAAACATATATATGATTGTTGACATACACAAATGCATACACTTGCATATGCAAGGACAAATCTGTTGTTCTTAGTGCTGAGATCACTCTCCCTCCCTCTCTCTTTTGGTGTGCACATGGTTGCGTGCATGCTTGTTGATTGCAAAATGGGACCGTTTAGCTTGCTTGTCCTTTCTGCAAAATTCTTGAGACTGGATGAGATTATCCGCGCACTAGTATATTCTAACTTTATAACTTTTGTCGATCACTTTATTACGGATAGGAGATTCCTGACTCTGTCGTATTCAAAAGATGTATCTTCTACTTTATGCATTGATGTTTGCAAAGCCAATTACTCTGATTTTCTCCTGTTGCTTTCGTGAAAGAAATAATTTGACAAGTATTTCCTTTGGTTTGGGTTGAAATAGTAAATAAAAACACAAACACACACAAACCCAAGCAGGCAAGAATTGAGCTATATTGCCAGCAAAAGGAAGGGCATTTCTTCCCCTCCTTGAGTCACTCAGCTAAAGCAGGTAGCTCTGATTGGTGGATCTCACGCCTCGAGGTTTAGATCTCCAAAATCAATGTCATGCCTTTCAAAATTATTGCATTGTTAATCTTTCCAATTGTGAACATGTTGCATTTCATTTCAGCAAGATGATGATTTAGTACCAGTCTGGAGGAGCACTTTGATCGCAACTAATTCACCATAGGTGGCAATAAGAACATGAGGAGAAAAATACCAATCATATCGGATTTAATCTAATTAAGCACATTAAATAGACGAAAACAAATCCAGATAATTCTGTCGTTAAGAACAAACACGAATAAACTTCCGTAAAAAGCAAGATAACTATCTAGTTCATAGATTGGTACGGCCTACGGATGGACAACCTTAGCCAAGCCAAAAGCAGCAGCAGATGCAATGGCACCAATGAAAGCAGTTTGGAAAGCACTTTTAACGGGTTTGTTGTCGGTGAAGTAACCCTTGGCGTAGCCAAAGATCAGGAGTGCTGCTATGGTTAAGATCACTGATGCAGCCACAGCATCCCTAGCTCTTGGAATGAACATATAAGGAAAGAGGGGCACCAATCCACCCAAAATGTAAGCAATAGCAATGGTGAATGCGCTCTGTAATGCTCTTCTTGGGTCTGGCTTCTCTAATCCCAGCTCAAACCTGTATTTACCAGCATTATTTATCAATGGTTGCCTGTATATGTATGTATGTCGATTCCGTTTAAACAATGGGAACACGGAAGCCTGACGGGTTGTGAATGAATCTCACTCCAGAATCAGAAAATTACTTGCTTAACCATCATATCAGTTAAACGCACACAACTTGCGAATGCAAAAGCCATGGAGTAATTGTGAAAGCGACCTGGATGATAAAGATGATGACAATTCATACCACCCCCAAAAGAAAACAAAAAAAAAAGATAGTGATAGTTTAACTGTTTCTACTATTCACTTATAATAAACTTTAAGTCGAATATGCAGTGTAAATACCCAAGTAAATCTTTCCATTATATAATAATTTAACTTCAATTACAATGGCATTTAGTACTTAGAGAGGAACAAAGGTCCTGAAATCCAAGGTGCCTTTACCTTTCAATAATCCAATGGAGATGAAGAATGAATATTTTAGGATTGGATCAATATGACAATATCGGAAAAGTGTCCCCAAGTTATGAATCTATGTACGAAAAAGGTCGAAATCTCTGAAACCAAGAGAATATTTTGTTTTCCTTAAACAATAAGGCCCAAGTTGCATGCCATTGCCATCAACCCTGTCTCCGGACCACATGGGCTTTGTCTCCATATGGAAAGGGCACCCAGCATTTTATCTGAGGATTTCAAAAGCAAATTTGGCACTTCATTCTGCTTTAGGGCAGTGACAGTGGAGCCACTCAAATTTGTCAAAGTCTAGTAATGTTGACTCTGTGTTCATTCACAGAAAAACAGAACACTTGTTTCGTTTTATGGCTCAGCCCTGAGGCGGTGAAGGCCACCGCACCAAGATTTGTAAGTTTTTAATGTGTGTTTTGACCTAATGATAAGGAGAGAGAATGACTTACTTCATCATGAAATCAAGCCAAGCCCGTGGCCTTTTCCTGAGAGCATTAACGACAGGCGCATATTCATGGGGCTCTATCCCATACTCCGCCAGTATTTCAGCCACCTCCGCCGCCTCTGCATTTTCCAAAACAAACCCATTAATTCGCAAGTTCATGTCATCCTTAACTTAATCAAACAAACCAAAAACGAAATCGAAAGGCTCAAATTTACTTAATTGGTTACCTGTATCAGGCACAGAAAGGATTTCTTCTTCCTCTCTTCTCAACTCCCTAGCATAATGATCGGCTTCACTTTTAGCCGCTAGATACCTGTACACGAAATCATTATGATACAGCCAAACACAGCCCATAAAATCCTACTAACATCTTTATAGTTTACACTTCCTTTTCCTTTGGGAAACTGCGAAATTAATTGCGGTCATTAATGTTGTCAATCTCTTTCCAATGTTCGATTTTCTTTCTCGTATAGTTTCTTAGTAACCAAACGATATCCGTCAATGAAAATATTAAAACACTAAACTATCAGACTAAACCATTGAAATTCTAATAGATACCTACCCGCCAAGTCCCATGGAGATGGCACCAGCGGCAACCTCAGCGATGCCGGCGGTGAGAACAATGGAAGAGGTGGCATTGGCCCCAGACAATCCAGCGGCAAGAGCAAAGGGCACGGTGAGACCGTCGGATACGCCGATGATGATGTCGCGGACGATCTCCCCTGCAGTGAAATGCTTTTCCTTATGCTGATTGAGAAGGCTTTGCTTCTCGGGTTCAATGTTTCCCCTGATGATTTCTTCTCCAGCCATGGCGAAAACCCGCGTGTGTGTGTGTGTGTTTTTTTAACTCTTCTTTTCTTGTTGTTGTTTGGTACCTAACTGAATGATTATGCCAAAATCCAAATGGTAGAAATAAAGGTGAAGAAAAGGCTGTCTTGGTGCGAGTAATAAATTGGAAAACAGACCTTGGTGTGGTTCCTGGTTGGGTGGTCTCACATACAATAATTGTGAAAAATGTCTCTATCTTACGTCAGACAAAAATAAAAGATTTTAAATTCTTTATAAGTGAGTGTATTGTACATCCCTATAAGTACGTTTATGAAAAAGAGAATAATGACCCGTGATAAGTAGTATCAGAGCGAATCGAACTTCGTCTGACTCACGTCAAGCGCTCGGGTCCAAAAGACCTAGGGTAGGTAAAGTGGTCGACTCATTGTCGAAATCAGGTGAAAGAGTGTCACGAGAAAAGTACCTCTATCCCACATTAGACAAAAACAAAAGATCTTAAGTTCTTTATAAATGAGTGTACTGTACATCTCTATAAATGTGACACACACGTGAGGAACAGCAACATAATGGTTTAATCCTTTTAGACTACAAAGATAACATGAACTAATTCATAGTGGTTTGGTCTCAGTACGTGTATTTTTTTACTCAAAAAGTATATGAATCTCTTCTTTTTCAAATAAAAAAAGAAACTAGATTGAAATATAGTTAAAAATTTGTGAAATAGACATTTCTGTATTTTTTTAAGTAAAAAGATTTTCTTTTAGTGCATGTGAAGTGAAAAAGAAATAAGTTTGCTTGAGAAAATTAATTTAAAGGTGGGCATCAATCTTAATAAATAGGAAGTTAATTGAATAATACAATATTATTTTGGTATTTTTAATAATATTTTTTATAATTTTTATAACTGAATTTGTGTTACAAGACTTGTCAATTATATAATAGTGTAAAATTTATTACTAGAGTCACTTGCTATAAGTGTTTGATTCGTCATGATTACTTTTTTTTACAAAGAAATAAAAAATAATATATTTATGTTAAAATAACACTTGAGAATAAAATTTTCATAACATTGTTTAATAAAATTAAAGCATTGTTTTTAGAGTATCTCTAAAAAGCACAAGACATTGAAAAGTTATATTCGTAAAAAATTCGTCCAACAATATGATTTTAAATTCAAACAAAAATAAAAGAAAGAAGATATAATTTGTTTATGATATAATGGAAAATCAATTAACAAATAATGTGTACATCATTCTAACCATCTTATTCGTAATTTATCTGCAAAAACATAATGTGAAAAACGGAAGGACTTGAACTAAGTATAATATATATATTATTTTCTTATTTTAAACTTCAATTCAATTATAATAATGATAAATATAATATAAATTGTTATTCAAATAACCTCGAATCAATTTGAATTAATTTAGACTTATTTCTCATAAAAATTAAATGCAATTATGTCTTTTAAATTTCATAAACTTATTTTTCAAATTGTTCAAATTATGTGAATTTATAAATAATTATAGTTTAATAAGACATGAGATGAAGCTCATTTGTGGAGTTAAGAAACTCCACCAATGGCACTAAGATAATTTTCCTATTAGAGTAAATTAAATTCAAGTCAAAATTTCTTCCACCCTCCTTAATTACCAGTAAAAGTAATTAGAAATCACATGGGATATTGTCTAAGCTTTTTTGGTAATATATATAAGTCATTCATACTTAGCTAGAAGGAAAAAGAAACGTAAAACTTCAAAAATGAAAATGGATATGCCCCGATGCTTCACATCAGAGGGCTACAAAGCTAGAAAGGGAGGGGAAGATCAATACTATTGTTGAGTTATTATTATTTGATAAGCTTAGCCAAGTAATAAGCAGCTGCAGAAGCAAAAGCTCCAATGAAGGCAGTTTGAATAGCACTCTTGAAAGTATTACTGCCTGTAAAGTAGCCTTTGGCTAAGCCGAAAATCATTAATGCAATTATCGTCAAAACAATGGAAGCTACCAAAGCCTCTCCAGCAACTGGAAAGACCAAGTATGGCAATAATGGCATCGATCCTCCCACCACGTAGGATGTAGCAATTGTTAACCCACTTATTAATCCTCTTAGGGGATCTGGTTTTTCCAATCCAAGCTCGAACCTGCAATTTTTTTTTTGGCATATATAGCCATTGTTTACCGTTTTGGTCAGTACTTTGTAGTATATAGGTAATTAGATGTTTATGATGTATAATAGGTAGTTGAAAAGAAATTTACTTCATCATGAAATCAAGCCAGAGTTGAGGGTTCCTTCTTAGAGCTGTCACCGCAGGTTCAGATTCGTGTGGCTCTATCCCATGCTTTGATAGAATTTCTGTAGCTGTAGCAGCCTCTGCATTTCAAGGAAACAGTCCTGTTAAAGCATGGATGTATTAAGAAACCATTGCAAACGCCAAATTCTGCTTTGGTCTATGTACCGAGCTCAGGATCGTCGATGATGGCTTGATGTTTTCGCTTCAGTTCACTGCTGAAGACTTCTGCTTCGCTTTTTGCTGCGAGATATCTGTTCAACATTCATGTACAAGTAGCTTAATATATCCATTTTCTTTAGTATGTTGACTTAAAAGGAAAGAATAATGTACCCGCCAAGGCCCATGGAAATGGCACCAGCTACAACTTCAGCAATACCAGCGACAAGAATAATAGAGGATGGCACGTTGGCGCTGGACAAACCGGCGGCGAGAGCAAAAGGGACGGTAAGGCCATCTGAGACGCCGAGAACAATGTCTCGGACAGTCTCGCTGGACTTAAAGTGTTTCTCTGTTTGCTTACTCTCTTTTTGATCCTCCAAAAGCAACTTAAACTTCTCAGGATCAACGTAACCGTTTGCTGCCATGGGAAATGTTAGTGTAGAGTCTAAATATTGAGCTCTTTCTGTTCTGGTGGGGCTCGGGGTGTCAAGAGAATTGAGACTATGCATATTTATAGCAAGAGTACGTAGGTTTACACATTAATTGGCGTGTCCTTAGCGCATTATGTCAAAAAGGTTTTGAAACGGGAAGATCAAAAGTGTTGCTACCATGGCTACAGTTAAAAGGTCGATTGAGCCTGAGATTTTAGAATCTTTAGGTAATAATCATGATTGATTAAAACGCAGACAGGGCGTGTGTGTGGCACAAGCCTCGTCCATATACGACGAAATAAGAAGATTTACATGCTTCGAAGTTGGGGGGAAAGCTTCCCGGCGTGTGAATAGCACAGGCCTATGGCCTTTGTCGGAAACTTTTCACATGATAGGCGCTTTACAGGCATGAGATAGCGAGACGCTGTAAAAGCTGACCCAGCAATATTGTTTTTCTTTCATAAGAATATTTCTCTGTTCAAATTATAAGTGAGAAAATTTATAAGACACCATGAACACTTATCAGGATCCAGGGTTTGATCTCGTGATCTAAATATCCAGTCTTCCCTTCTGAGGGCTAACTGTCATTGGGTTTAAGTCCATGAACTTACATGAAAAAGTTTTCTGCCCTTTATTGCTATTGATGAAAGTACTACAAAAATGTATATCGGGGATAAAAATGAAAATAGCACTGAGAAGACACAAATTTTTTCTGATTTGTTAATAACAAGTCAAACAGGGAGAGTTTGGTTTGGTTTGGTTTAGTGTTTATGATTAATCTTTTTTTTCAATAATTAACTTAATGAAATGTAAAACATTCTTATTTATATAAATTATTAAAGATTTTTTTTACCTATTGATATGAAATTAAAATATTTTATTTATTTTTTAAAATTATTTGATGTGTTATTCTCTTTTATTCAATCCAATTATGTTCTTGTCGTTTTTTAGGAAGTATTTGGTATGAGTTTAGTGTGAATTGAATTTCATTTTATTATAAAATTTAAAAGATTAATTTAAAAAGATATATAACATTTATGTTTACAAGTTTTTTAAAAAATTTTTATGATATAAAATTAAAATATTTTATTTATTATTTTTTAAAATTTGACATGATATTTGAACTGTATAACTCACTTTCTCATTCTCACCGTAATAGATTTCATTATGTAATTTGGATCAAGTAAATGATTAACAAGTGATCTATTTTATGAAACCGAAACAGAAAAAGAAAATTGGGAAAACAAAGAAGTGTCGGCTTTCACTTTTTAGCATTGGAAGACTGATATCTGAGCAACTTTCCAACATGACCACCCACTACTAGCCATCATGTCTACTCATTCATTGCCTTGTACGAACTGGCCATGTGGTTTCCCCTCGATTAGTGAAATATCTTCTAGCTTTCGGTCATCATACCTGTTTCTACTTTACTTTGAATTAATTAAAAAAATATTCCCCATTTCCATTTGCCTTCATCACTTACTCCTCCTCCATTCACTGAATTTAGCCTGTGTATTTCAAATTGCCTTCTCTCTTTCTGTCTCCATCTCTGAAGAATAACAAATTAAGTTATCCTGAACCTTTTCTCTCTAGTTACTAATGACTATATACTGCTGATTACTAAGAGCGTTAGAGTTTATTAATCCTGGTTGCTTGACCAATTTGATGACTAAATTGCTCAAAATATATAGTAATTCATCATAATTTACTGTGTTTTTTTCCTCTGATTTACTGTCAGCAATCTGCTGTTAGATTGCCTTATGATATTTTGTTTTGGATGCTTGTGGCAGGCACACGCCAGCCATTAAAGGTAGGGAGAAAAGGAGGCGTAGAATATTCTGCAAGATATGTTGAGCCACACGACCTGACTTTCTGGGAAGGATAAGCACGGGCTGTTCTTCACCTTTTGTCTGTCAATGGCAGTGCCATCATCACAGATTCTCTCTATCTTTGAATTTAAAACCGTCCACCCCCATTAATTTTAGCTAAGGAAGGTAGACAGGATTAAATTTAACTCAAAACCCATATTACCAAACCAAGACATGGTCGCCGAAACATTTGAAGGCCAAAAGAGATTCAACAACAAACATGAGAGCTTCCACGGAAAGCAGTTACTGCTGCCATTTATTTTGTATATAGACAAGGAAAAACTTGGCTTTTTTGGATGGAAAGTGGCCAAGTGGGAGTTAATAGGTTGAATCCAGCTGTGCTGTTTCTACTCACTAATAAAACAAAAGACAGGTTGTTGCTTGGTAGGCTTGAGAATACTTCGTAACTCATTATAAGGTATTGTAATAGCAAATAACCCTCCAGCTCTATCAATCTATTAGCTCTATGATTTATACACTCTCCATTTCAATCTGGTTTATTCGTCTTTCTTACACCTTTCAAGGTTATGTTTTGTGCTTTTTTTTTTTCATTTTTTAATATCTTATATCCTTTTTTTTTCTTTTTTTTATAGTAGTTTCTTTTTATCTTTTTAGGGTTTATATTAAAAATATTTAAACGTTAACATTATAATGAGTTGAAATTTTAGTATGAAATACACATCAAAGTTCTTGTTTTTTTTTGTTAACTTCTGCCCTGTTTTTGATATTTTAGTATGAAATATCAAGAAAATCATTGGAGTTTGATTTGAAGCTCCCTGAACCAATTATGAAACGTGGTTGGGCAAAACAGAAAAACTCAATTCATAGCGACAGCTTGAGTGTCAGTGTTATCATTAATATGACACAGACAGTGATAGATGATATGATAATTTACAATTGTAATTCTTATTAATTATAATTAATTAATAAAAAGTAAAATATACTTATTTAATCTAAAAATAAAATATTTAATTGAATATAATAAAAGTATAATTTTAAATAAAAATAAACACTTTAATTAAACACAAAAAAAATATAAAAACTTAATAAACCTTTTTGGTATATTTTAAGAACTTGCATGGATATTATACTTTATTTAATATTAACTTTTGTTATATTATTCTTGATTTGTCATCTCTGCTTTCAAATTCGATTTTCATGATTTTCTTCGAACTTTTAGAATAGATTTATAAAAGGGAAGTTCAGCAACGTTTTTGATTAGCTAATTTCAGCCTAACCTCTTGGTGTATCCCTCTGATCTTATTTTCTCTATTGTTGGGGTTGCAGAGTTTTTTAAGAATTAAATGATGTGAAGAGTCTGCAAGCTACGATTCAAAGGAGAAGATAAAAAACCAGACAGATGAGAAGCAGAACTAAGATAGCATTCAGGGAGAAACTAGACGTTGTCAGATTTAGGCTGGCCTCGCTTCAACATTGAAAAGCATTGATCATCCAACATGGTTCTGACATGACATGACATAACCATTTCATACATCCTCTCCTGCTGTTCATTTCACATCTCTAAATAACCGGTACTGATTCAGGAAACACATAACATGCAAAAGTCACTCAAAAAACACTTCTGTCAAGTTACTAGAATTAGTAATTTACAACCAATACAATACTTGCTACACTAACTTCAGTACCAGAGACAGTGATGAAGGTAAATGGAGTAGGGACGAGAGGGCAATCCACTGCAAGTGCAGAGTCCATACTCTCAAGGAAGTTTTCATAATTGACACCACCGAATGTACTAAACATTACTTGGGATTTCTAAGAACAATTATAACAGAATCTCCCCTAAGGAACATCTTACTGATGAATCTGTCCTTGTTAACTGGAAGTGCCTTTTTCTTGCCTTTCCCAGTCTTTGGTACCTGTACAATAGGATGATGAAACAATTCAAACCTTTTTATTAAAATGTAAAGATGGATTCATAAGTTGGGGGAAAGCATACAAACTATAAAGAAACACAAACCTCAGTCCACATCTCCCTGACATTTTCCAAAACCATGTTGCAGTGCCGATCAAAGGCTCTCACTCGGCCTAGAAGCTTTTTATTGTTACGACAGTTGATGAGAACCTGCTTTCATAAAAATCAAATTTAGTTCTAAATAAGCACACGCTCAATCAAATGTAGTTGAGTATTTGCTAGGGGTCAGAAGATGGGCATATTACCTGAGTGTTATTTTTAACACTCATCATCAGAACGGACAGTGGTCCTGTGTTAAATTCCTCTTCCTCATTCTTTGTCGTCTGCAACAAACACTTTGATAAGCTTTTGGACAATAAAAAATAGGAAAGATACTGGGGTAATGACTTTTGCAAGGCAAATATATAAACAAGAGATGAATATAAGCGAACATAATACATTTTACACGAAAACATAAAAAATAACTTACTTCTTCTTCCATTGGCCGACTGCAAAGAGAGAAGAAGCAAACCAAAAGAAAGGGTTAGTGTATCATACATGAAAAGCAACAGAAACGAGCCAATGAAAAGAAAAAGGATTGACCAATTAGTACCTCATTTTCAACTATGGAAGTTTTCAGTACTATCTCCCAGTAAAACCAAAACAAAGATCTGCAAAAGCAAGACAAAATACCATTAAAACACAGGAAACTTAAGAAAATAGCAATAACTCGAAAATAGAACCCGCATGGGGACTGGAACAATGTTCAATGCCTACAAAAAGAATACTAAACTTATTGAAACACTAATAGTATATGAAAATGCATAACTATGCCAGCTCCATAAAAATTGCCCGAATGGAAATGATATCATTATAGCTGCACGGAAAATTGCCCAATGAAACAAAAAACAAAGGATTACTAGTGAAAACATATGCAAAATCTAGTTCTTCAAAGATTTACCTAATTAACTTAAAATGACAAACAACCCCAGTTCAATTTTTTCATTTTACTTTATTTTCATACAGAAACCACATGTATCACAATGAAATGATCTTCTTAAACTCTTCAGCTCAGGTCTCCATAATTTTTCAGCATTTATTAGCTCAGGAGAACGAAAGTTTTTATAGTAAACATCATCAGAGTGACAGAAGACCTTCAATGTCTATTCCAGAAATGGTCACTTACAAGTTATAATATAATAACTAAAATTGAAAATAAAATCTTTGCCTAAAACTAATTGTAAAACGAATATAAGCTAAGTTAACAAAAACTATTAAAAGTTTTTACAGTAAGGATGAAATGAAGCCTCTTCAGTTCAGGTCTCCAGAAATTCTCCGCATGCACTTTCTCGGAAGAACGAAAGTTTTCATTTTCAATCATCCTCAGAGGCAAACATGAAAAATCAATCAATAAAAACAAAAAGCAAAATATAAATTTGAAATTAAATAGCGGGAAAACTAAAATGTCTCTTCAGCTCAGGTCTCCATATAGGATTCCGCATCGATTTTCCTCTCAGAAGAACGAAAGTTTTTATGATTTACATCATCATCAGAAACATTTTGCGCTATCATTAGAAAATTGAAAACCCCTAAGAATTTAAACAGAAAATAAAAAAATAGCGAAAAACTAGCTAAGAATCTATGAAAAAGTAAGAGAAATGCAGAAAAAAGAAGAGGGAGAGTAGAGATTTACTTGATTGGCGCTACACCGATGAGATCTGATTTGAAGAGAAACGGATGAGCAGAGAGCCGCTTTATAGAGACTCCGACGACTGAAAGAAAACCCTAGTTCTTTTAAAGTAGGGTTTTTGGTCTTGAACTTCTGTGTAGGCGTTTGCATCTTTAGCCCAATGGTTATCAAGGTTCGGGCTATGCCTTTGTTTAGTTTATGGGCCTAAGCCTTTTAATTTGATTAACAACTACAGGGTTTGGGTCAAAGAGTTATTAAAGAATTGATAAAATATGTTCACTTTTTAAGTTTTAATCAAAATTTTAAATAAATTTATTAATTTTAAAAATAAATATTTTATCTTAAAAGTGTAAACACAATTAAAAAATAATATGAAAAAATTAAAATATTTTTTTATAAATTTAAAATATTATTATATAATTTTTTGAAAAAAAACAAGTACCGATCGATTCTCAGCTCTCTAAAATTTTTAAATTAATAAAAAATATATAATAATAATTTTTAATATTAATAAAAAATAAAATTATATTTTCAATATTACTACATTATTAAACTAATAAAAATATTAATGATTGACTAATTGTTAAACTTATGTGTCTAGTGAAAAATATTTTTTAAGACAAAATATTCATTTTAAAAACTAATAGACCCACTTGAAATTTAGATTAAAACTTAAAAGATGAAAATATTTTACCGTTAAAAAATAAAAACAATTATTATTCAATAAAAACAAATGGAATGTTTAGTTATCTTTTTCTATTTTTATTCAAGATATAAAAAATTTTTGAATTTAATTTATTAAATAAGAGATACATATACTATCATTGAATCAAACGTCTATTTTTATTCAAGATATAAAAACATTTTGAATTTAGTTTATTAAATAAGAAATACAAATATTTTCTTTGAATCAAACGTGTAATAGCACTTGTCTTGTTTATATGGAAAAAGTATTTATATAAAAAATATGTTTTATATAAAAATGTTTTATAAATTCTGATTAAGATGATATTTGTAAATTTTTTTATAATTAATGTGTAATTTATTCTTGAATTTGATAAAAAAAATACTGCATTAAATAAAAAAAACATTTCTTTAACTAACCCGAACAAATGCCTGTCAATGACCATTAACCCAGCCCTGATATAAATTAATCAAAAATGAATTAATTTGTATTTCATTTTACACAACATTAGTCAGTGAATCATTTCCCCCTAATTTTTTAGCTGTTGATGTTTTCTGTTTAGCAGTTATAGCTTAAGTATACCGTACAGCTCTCTTAGAAGAGTAATCTGCTTTAGCTTTAAGGGCTTTTCATTCAACCAAAGGGAAAAACATATGCAGTTCTTGGAAATGACTTCTCTATATTTGAGAACAAAAAATCCATGTGGAAAACTAGGATGACAAAATAGGCCAAAAGTAGTACAACATACTCTTACAAGTTACACTACATCTATATGAGAAGATAAAAGTATTCAGCTCTTCTATTTGCCCTAGATTCACTGGCTCCGTGCTCGATTTCATGTCTTGTACAGAATAAATAAATAACAGTTCAGAAAAATATGAGGGCACTAGAGAAAAATAAATGAATAAATAAACAATTTTGCATGCATCAGCCACCAATTACACTTTACATACAACTGATAGAAGCTTAGCTTTTCTCTTTTTAAGTTTATGCCAAAAATATCAGTAGTGAGAGGAAACCTCATATCTGCTAAGGTTGCCAAAGCAAGGGAAAGAAAATGCTCACCCACCATATGTATCTCTCATTATTGTTACACTATTATGATACCAATTCCTCCGGAAGTTTTCACTAGTCCAAAGAAAATGCTCCACTGCAATATCTGCAAGCGTCATAGAAATAACAATCATGAATTTGCCTTTGAAAGATCTGAAATCCCATGGATATCATATTGTAAACTCTGGTGTTCAGGAAAAGATGCATTTTAAAGTAGGGTGGACCATGGGTTTAGTCATATAATAAATAAGAAATAGCTCAGGGCAGAGAATTATTCACTAATAAATCATTATAGCTCAAACTATACTTTGATAGAATAATTGATGATAACTGCGTACCTCCATAAAATATTTGAGTATTTTCATGTGCAAGAAGAAAGTCAAGATATGAGAAATAAGAACTAATAAATAGGAATAAATTGTAAAGTGATAATAACAATCTTGTAGAAAGAACTATTGCACAATCACAGCTAAAATCCACTACCTGTTACTGAATTTCTCAACAGCATCAGATGCGTAGAGGAGCGTTTCATTAGCTTTCTCTAGTACCATATAAAGCTCCTTCCCTCCGGTAATACGAGCAATGGCCCAAGCATTATTTTTCGCTCTAATGCAAACTTCCAAATCTTTGTCATGACCTGGATTATCCCATTTTGCTCGACTCTTTTCTGAATCAACTTCTTCTCTAAGCCTATTTAAGGCGAGCAAAGATTCCTGCATTATAATAATGAAAACAAAGAGCCATCAAAGGCTTTACAATTTAGCTTGATAACTCAGTGGATTGCAAGAAGGTTTGAGGGTGGGAAGCATCTACTTTCTAGATAACATCAGAAAGCACCATCAACTGTAACTTATTATCAACTCTTAGAGCTGAAATTTAATTGACAATTGGATATCAAATTTGACCTGAATAAACTTTAGGGAACAATAAAGAGAACAAGCATAAAGGCTGTCTACTGTAAAATAGATCATCAAAACCAATCTTATCATCTAATACTATGAACTTGCTGAAAGAAAGAGCAAAATTTTGCTTAGTGCTTTGGTCACTTGAACTCTGGGCACTTAATATTTTTTAGAAGGACATGCTAAAATTCAATTTAATTCTATCAGGAGTCAGGACCACTCCTAAACGCTGTTGCCTGTAAGCAGCAACCTAGCAAAATAGCAAAAACATAACTGATTCAATTGTAAGATCCCCATAAGAAGGTTGTTTAAATATTTTCCACTGACCCAGAAACTAGACATTGTAAGCCATCAGCATTTTCAATATCTAGGCTTCACAAAAATCTATGTGAATCTTCAGCCACTAACTTTAAAGGTTGAAGGATGGAGAAAGATAAGTGTCCATGAATGGTTATGATCCTTGCTCTAAATCAGGTTGCCAAGAAAAGGTAAATAAATAAGGCACCCAGTTGGCCAACAAAACAATTGATGAAGTTCCAAATTCATAATTTTGGTGCATAAGATATTTGAACATCCACTAATCCATTCTTCAAGGCAGACATATTTCATGATAATAAAAATTGAAAAAAATATAACTTACAAAATATACATGATCAAAATGATGCAACACTAACCCCTAATAAAGCAAGATTAAAATTTCTCAACTCATCCATGCTCTCCTATCCACAATACTGTTCTTCATAATATTTAAAGTGTAATTTGAATTTGATTATCACCTAGTTATAAGACACAACAAATACTAACACCTTTTATTTGGCAAACTTTAAATCACTGAAATTGATCATAAGTATTCAATTTTTTCATGTTCAAGCAAACAATTTGTTATAACCATGCAAAACAACAGCAATGTGTATTACCTTTGTAAGTGTTGTAACCTTTGCTGGGGGTGAAGCCCTGGATATCTCTCTGTTACCATCCACTAACAAGTAACGGTACCCACTAACGTGATAAGCATTCTCTCCACCCCATCCCTTTGACAACTTTTCTTCAACTTTCAAAATCTTTAGTGATGCCTAGAAATTTTAGAAAAAGCAACAAAAAAGAGATGGTCAGCTGTGCTGATCATGGAAACATATCATTTTTCAACTTGGTGTATTTATGTTGAACCTAATAAATAAGGACCATTGTCTGTTAGGACTACTTTGATGCTTACATCATGTTTATTCCTTCATTTGGGATGTCCTACAAAGGAGTGTCATTTAGAATATGACTATAACTATCAAGAAGACGAAGGTTTTCAAATGTTTATATCACCAATCCTTTTTCATACCAACTATATATTGAAAAAGATGGATGCCAAAACTTTGAGTGTGACAAATGAATGAATTGGCAAAAAAATTTATGTAAGAAGACTTGGAAAGAAAGGAATATACATCTAATATCAAGCCCAAAATAGTGCTGTTGGTTTAGAGAAAAAGAGAAACATAACCTATCATAACTTGCAATCCAAACAAGCAGAAACCACTAAGGCAAAGGGCTCTATAGGAGGGCAAAGGATCTAAGATACAAAAGGAAGATTTTGAAGGATAAGAAGTGACACTAGACAAGAGGCAAGTCAACTCTATAAGAAAGACAACGTGGATACAAAGAGAAAACTGCATCGAATGTGTGAAACTAACAGAAGAGTATTTAAATGAACTGGTTGACAAATGGAAATGCTGATGGTAAGTATGATATATAGCACGTGTAAGAACCAACATTTTCAAGAAGTTGTTGTTTCACAATTGAAACACCTTGCTCCCCATTGAGGATGGATGCAAAAGGAATAAGAAGGATCAATGTAAGGCTTCTGTACTGATAAGCACAGAGATACATCCTCTCCTCCGTCTGCCGTAGCCAAACTGTTGGAGTGGTAACATTCAAGCTACCAGCATCAATACCCCAAATATCAGTACCAAGAAAACCATCCTTCCCTTTGAACCACTTGTCATGCTGTAAGGGCCTTGTGATACGATATCTATTATCTCCAGCAGGAGAAGTATCACGTGAGCCATAAAATTGTTCTGAAACAGATCCAGAGTGGGCCAAGGTTGATCCAGTAGCAACATGTGATGAAGAATTTCCTTTGCGTAAATAGGACCAGGAACTTGCACCAGAGGATAGTGCATGTGGCGTTAGCCTTAGAACAGCATATGTGAATAAGTTTATGGTATCCTCCTGAGAACAAGATCATTAGGAGCATTAGTATTAAATATGAAAAATGCCTAACTGGAATCATTCCTATCAGAATTTTGACAAGGTAAAGTTATTTAGCTGTTGAAGATTTATGCCACTTTAGGATAAAAGGTGAGGCATCTAACAAAAATGAGAAAACTAGCTACATCAGCTTCAAAAATTGGACCATACAGGGGAAAGTGTTGTGGATACGAGCAGGTCCTGAAATAAAATGAGTGACGAGCACGATGTGTTGCCAGCACACGATTCTAGTACCCTGACCAGTGTCTGCCAAAACAAGATGGAATCATTAAAACTATAAAGAAATAACAATTGCACAACTCCCATTTTAAGGTACATATTTTACAATTTGACTTATATGCTTACAATAGACAAATAGATAGAGTTTTAATCAAGCATAGAAGCAATACTTGAATGCAATAAGCTTCTAATATCCTGGTTTTAAAATGTTTCAGTTCAAGTATAAAACCAATTTGAAAATTGGAGTAGAACAAAAAAACAGAACCATAGAATGCTCTCAACTCTGGCAACTGGAATACAAGGTCAAATAGGACTATCCAAACGCATTTTGGGAACAACCAAACATTTAATTACAAGATCAACCATCAAAATTGTCCAATTCCCTTCGTCCATTAATGCTATATCTTTTATTCTTGTAAACTTAAAAAACAAAGCAAACAGAAGCATCTAGTGCTCTATTAAACTCCTTTTACTAGTTTTTCTTAATTCCCTTCATCCATTAATGCCTGTAAATTGTGCAATTCCCTTCATCCATTAATGCTATACCTATATATACAGTTAGAAGAAAATAAGACAACATGATATTGATAAGTGTGTAGCAGTTCTATAGAGGACTCATGATTCAGGACCTTACAGATGAAATTGACTGTCTTAACTTGCCAACTGACAAGAGAGAAAAATCTTGATGATTCCACAAATAATTACAGTAATATCTATAGTGTCACTTCGCACTAATTTTATAGCTAGAAGTTGATGGTGGGAAGAATATATGGGAAACTTTTACACCTATGGTGGAAAAATTGGTTTGATGGATCAATTGATTCGGAGTAATGATGGCCCCAAAGCTCACAATTAAACTATATGATTATGGAAAGACTTGTAAGCAGAACAGACTCATTCAACCACAGAAATTATCAATTTGACATTATACAATCTGGTCACTAATGAATTGGTTACAAGGGAACATAACCTGAAACTACCAAAATTTAAGTTTCTTGATCAAAAGTAGAAACTTTAAACCACTTGTTTGGTAAAATATGAATGAATTTTAGCATTTCAAGTACATATGACTACCGAACAGATTGTATAATCACAAACCTGAACTTCAATTGCAGCTTCCCGTCCTACAGTTAGCATCTGTACAGTCCTTCGTTCCTTTAAACAGTCACGGAATGATGGCAACTGGAGTTTCTTCCCAACCAGAAAATCTGCCTCAAAGATAAAAGTTATACATAAGGCATGAGATATAGCAACTTCAGCAAAACTTGGAAGCACAAATCCAGTGAAGGCCATTTGATACAGCAACTTCAGCATTACCCCAGCAGCACTCATCCAAGGGAGACCGCTTTTGACATGCTGACAATTAGTGACTTACAATGAAAAATTTTGAATCAAAGTCAAAGGGACAAATAAAATTAGCACAATTTTAACCACCCATAAAATTTCATAACAATTTACCTCTCAGATAATCCATGATGAAAGGGTATAAATGAGCTCGAGTTAGTTCTCCACCAGGTTCTTTGTCAAGCAACGCTCTTATAGATCCATGAAACATCATGAAAAGAGAGTGAATTTCCTTAAGAACCTCTCTTAATGCATCAATCCGCCATATGGCTTCCAACTCCTTACTTTTCTCCACTACCTACAACAAGGTATAGCAGATATCAGACTTACCTAGAACAGATTTGACAAAGGTTATAATGACAAATTCTAATATCAAGGGACCAAACTGTTTCAGATTGACCAAGATATATATACATTTTTCTTTTCCAACAAAACGACGGTAATTAAGGAAATACTTCTATATAATGTTAAAATGATTTCAACACAGTCTATTGACATGAATAACAAAGCATTTATGCATCTATTTCTAAAATTATCATTCGGAAGACGATGGACACAGTAAAATATTTCATGCAAGAAAGTTACAACCACGTCCATACCATAATCATCCAGATATCCGGCTCTGCCTCGTAAAAAACATGAGAATGTCTCTCTGCTTCTATAACCTCGCAAGCCGCCTCCGGAGAGAAAATTCTGCGGGAAACTCAAATTATTCCTCAAAGAACTAGCTACGCTACAAAATTAGTTCTAATTTAATTCGAATGCATCCCATCACGAAAGCGGTTGTTAGTACTGACCGCGTGAATGTAATAAGCCCTTCACTGAGCCCAATCACTGAGAGTTGAGACGAAAAGGGCAAATCAGCAGGAAAGAAGAATAAAATTTTGTCAAGTTCTTGGCCTTCATGCTGGCCCCTTCTCAAATCAAATATGCAGAGTTGCATGCCTTCACTAGCAGTGCCAATAGAGGCCAAACCCATAAAAATTTTTTGTACTGGTTCAATGGACCTAATTGAAACAAATAGAAAAGCAAAAATTGAATACAAAAAGCTATGGAATTAAAGTTAATGGGAAAAGAAGGGGAAATTTCAGATAAAACGACGGAAAATTGCAACAAGACTGACTTGACACGGCAGCGAAGATCAAATGCTGAAATGCTTCGAATAAAATTTGGTGACGGAGCTTCACAGATCCTCAGTAACCAAATAGAGAGAGCGAGAAGACTTAATGAGCTTTGAATAGTAGGTGGAAGAAGCAACTGTAAATTACAAAAAAAAAAAAAAGGGATCGGGCTAAAGCCCAATTGAAGGCTGAGAGTCAAGGTTTGGGCCTAAAGCCCAAAACGAGTCTTGCTGAATTGTTTAGGGTTTCTTCTCTACCATTTCAATTTTCAAGCTTCTCAATTTGGTTGCCGGCAAGATACAGGAAAAGGATTTTCCGTTTCTTCCCTTTCTTAGGTTACGGGGTGGAACGTTTGGTGGATAAATGGCGGCTAGTTTTGCCTCTAAATGTTCCCGCGGTACGTAAGTTTATGAACTTTCTGTTTATTACTACAAGTAGTGATTTTGTTGATGTTGGATCAGAAACGGTAAGATATGAGATTATGTTGATGATGGAATGTAGATAGTCTCATGCTGAAGGGTTCTGAATGCTGAAGGTTGTTCAAACTTGGCTTTGCTAGTGATTAAAATGTTCGGGAGCCTATGCCCAATTCTCTAGTAGCTATTAGTATTACCCAGATTTCTTTAAATGAAAATGGGGTTTTGATTCTGGTTCTAATTCTTTAATGTATTTCTCCTGGTTGACTCACTGTATCTTTTTTTCTGATGGAAAACAAAACTAGTGGGCCGCTCATTGCTAGGAGGGCCTGGAAATAACTTGTCTGGTTTGCAGAGTGCGTCGAATGAGGTTGTGGGCAACAATGTATGGTCTCAGGTGAGTGATTCTTTCCAATGCTTGTTTTAAGCTTATGAGGTAATTCTGATGAAGTTTAATTTGCTTCATGTGCGATGTGCTTCAGATTATTGAGCACTTCATCTATTTAGTACAGAGCCAGGAACAGGTTTCTCATAATCTTCCAAAAAGTGTGATGGAAATAAGTAAATGAATTTGACTAGGAGGTTATACCGATTGTCTACTGACTATTATCTTCTTAACTATTCTATTAAAAGTTTTCAGTGAGTTTGAGCCTTGATGTCTTGAGTTTGCTGTAAGTCTGTGACAGATTAGAGCAAATTTTAAACCAAATCTACATTCGTCTTCTGATTTCTGTTGAACTTGAGCTTAGTGCTAGCTTAATCTGAAATTGTACTGAGCCCATGGTTACCATGTCAACTTTCCAAATCGATTCCATTTTTCTGTGAATTTTTAGTTTGACTGATAATAATAAGGGAGGCTGCCAGGCTGGCTTTCAAGCATCCTCAACCAAAGACCAAGGAGATGATGCTATTGTAGATTTGTCTTAGTTTCCATCCTCTGAGACAAACATGATTCTGTGCTTATATGTAGAAAAATGTATGCTATATTAACCAAAGGCTAGATACTGTCACTTTTATTTAATTGTCTGTCTTAGCTGGGGGTGGGAAGACATATTTTTGCCTTCATTTTCAGCTATTTAACTAAGTCAATCCTAAATGACCTTTGTTTAATCTAAACTCTATATGTCTAATCCTTATTACCTCTTTTAAACAAGACTTTTGTGGGGTTTTTTTTTTTCATGACGTTTTACAGCAGCAAAGGACTTTCATACAGATGAGGACTGTTCTCAAAGTTGTGGACAACTCAGGTGCAAAAAAAGTTATGTGTATACAAGCTCTAAAGGGGAAGAAAGGAGCAAGACTGGGGGACACTATAGTTGCATCAGTTAAGGAAGCAATGCCTAATGGAAAAGTGAAGAAAGGAAAGGTTGTCTATGGTGTGGTTGTACGGGCTGCCATGCAGAGGGGTCGTTGTGACGGTAGTGAGGTCAAATTTGATGATAATGCAGTTGTACTTGTTGATAAGCAAGGCCAGCCAATTGGGACTAGAGTATTTGGGCCTGTACCTCATGAGCTAAGGAAGAAAAAGCATGTCAAGATCCTTACTTTGGCCAAGCATATTGCCTGAGGTATGGCTCTCTTTGTGTGCTTGCCTGTGTGTCCATGTATCAGCAAAAGATGGAATTTAATCATTAGATTGCTAAATCCAATCTTTTTTCTCTTCTTGATTTAGCACCATAGAGTACCAAATTATTGCCATTGGGAGCAATATCTTTTTCTCACCGATTCGGCAAAGATATAACCTTGGAGGAATCATTTTTAAATGAAGATGCAAAACTTTGTTTTGAACTGCAAAATCACTCTTGGTGTTTATAATGAAGCAAATTTTAGGAGGGTCGTTGACATGAAAGTGTGTGAAGCTTACAATAATATATCTTCTCATCTCGTATTTCTGTTTTAGAGTTATCACTTTCTTTGGTTCAACTGCGGGCACATAGTGCTGGACTTACAATTGCCTGGCGAAGGCACAAAAGACCGAAAAACTGAAGTAAACTTTCATGGCCATAACCAACTACTTATTTTTGCAGAACCAACGGAGGAAGAAATGGAAGATATCAGAAAGGCCCATCCCCCTCAAAACAAGAGAAAAACCGGCTTTGATGATGGAAATAAGCATGTTGATTGAGGTAGCAGAGGAAAGGTGCCAGGGGCGGCCTAAAGTTTATGAATAATTTACAACTTTTTTGTTTGTGGGCTATAATCAAATGAAATGTAAGCTTAGTTGCAGTCAATGGAGTACTAGTTTGTTCACATGGCAGCAGTAAACGTTTTTTGGTTCAAGGAGTTAGCTAAACCTTACTGGCCTCTCGTGTAGTTTTATTCACCGATGTTGCATGGGGTTAAAATCTTTGACAATGGAGGATACTTAGAAATTAGCACTGTAAAAAATGGGAAGATAACAGTTTCCTCGAAGAGCAAAATTTTAAAGTAAATAATGAAAAAAAAAATGGGTCCCAATTGAAGCTTAGAATTAATTCACTCTAGGTGTTAATAAAATGTTAAATATAAATACACTTAGATCAAGTGTGTATATAGATATATATTCACAAACTTAAGAATATTAGAATGTTTGATGCTTGATTATTGAAATATTAAATGATTTTATAACATTTTAATAATCTTAGCTTGCAAAGTAATAACCTCAAAATCAATTATTATCTTCAATATTTATTTATTTTTTGGTAATGTTGGACGTACCTTGAAAGTTATTTCTATGAATATTCCGTAACATAAGTTTATTGAAATATTAAATATAATGTTCTGAAGTATCAGATAGCTTTATAACTTTTTTGATAACTAATCATCCACAAATTTAGTAACCTTAAAAATGCTCTCTTTTTTTTTTTTCTAAGTAACTTTTATCTATTATTGATAATTTGGAAGTATTTTGTCAATAATATTTATGGAAAACATGTATAAATAGGATTGTTGAAGTATTATAAAATATTAAAAACTCAAATACGAAAAATAATTATTTGATACCTATTGAAATAATTTAAGTAATTCTCCGTTATTTTCTTTTTCCCTTCATCCATTTTTTTCCATTTCAAAGATAATTATATTTATTTAATTTAAAAAAATTTATTGATGTATTTTTAATATGGAAAATTATGTCTTTTTGTATGAAAAGTAATATTGTAATAATTATGTTTTTTCGTATTAAAAAAAAATATGATAATGAAGGTGCATGGGTGCTGACGTGAGACCGCATACAGCATAAAAATGCTGTCACCCTCCCCAGTCCCACGACTCCCACAACGTCCATAAACCGCTTAGCTTCAACTCCACACTCTACACTCTGTATTACACACTGCACCATCTCTCTCAATTCAAACATCTAAATCCAAACAAAACTTCCAATTCAAAAATCAAAATCTAAGCAAAATCACTGAAAATGAAATCGAAGATCAAATCATCGAAGAACAAAAAGACTGAACCAGCAGCTGAGACGACGATGTTTATAAAGAAGAAACTCCGTTCAAAGCGACCTCGAAGAAGGCGTTCTCAGATCGCTCCATTTGTTCTCCAAAAGCGAACGACTCTCTCCGTTGATTCCAGTTCCTGCTCTTACTTCGACGCCAATGAAGTTTCTTGCAATTCGAGCCGAGTTTCAACTCCGAAGAAGAGGAAGTTTGGTGAAATCCAAGGTGGCTATGGAGCTAAAAATCAAGGATATGATGAAATTGGAGGTTCGCAGTTTAGGAGGATCACGAGATCGTATTACAAGAAGGAAAGAGAAGCGAAAGGAAATGAAGTCGAAGTGAGTGAATCTTCTTGCGTTGAATCCAATTCTGGTGCTGATTTTCGTGTTTTTGGTGAACCAAGTTCTAAGTTGAAGAGACGAAGCGAATATTTGAAGGAAATTGAGAAAAACGACGCGGTTTCGGTTTCTCTGGAAGCCGTTACGCGATCGGATATTTCATGCGTCGAGCTGATTCCTCATGAAACCACAAAACTCTTATCGGAGAAGAAAGAGAACGACCTCGTTTCGGTGACTTCCGGCTTTGAGTTTTGCTCAACTTCGAAGTTCGGCACTGCATTATTCAAAGAGAATCTAAACGACGTCGTTGACTCCAATTTCACCGTTTCGAACTCGGAGTCTGTTGTGGACCAAAAGCAGAAGAGCTTCTCCGGTTTAGATTCTTCGCAACTCGCTTGTGACGAACAGTTCTCATTTGAGAAAGTCGTCTCTGATGACTCATCGAGTCACGAGACTGCGTTTTCTGGGCTGCAATCAGGTTTTTTCCCGGAAACTTCAGATTTAGATTTGTCAGATTACACTCCTTCTCTTTTCTTCGATTCTGGAAGCCAATTCTCAGAGAAATCGAGCAATGACTCTCCTACTTCATTGACTTACTCTCTTTTTCTCGAGTTCAAAGAACAATTCTCTAGATCAACCTCGCCTTTAGATCCTAAATTTGCCTCACGCGTTGAAGATGAGCGTCAACTTAATCATACAGTAATAAGTCTACACAACATTTGTCAGTTATTCCGTTGAGTGAATTTTTTTAATTTGAATTAATTCTAGTGATTTTTTTGTTCTATTTTTGTTAAGTTGGTGACTTTTGAAGACGAAGAAGACGAGGAGACTTATAAGAGGTTGAGGGAGAGAGAGAGAAGGCAAGTGTTTTTGCATGATTATGCCGAGGAATACCGATTCGCGACTGACTACGGCGATCTTATTCTCCAACAACGTTCTTTCATCGTCCGCTGGATCGTTGAGGTCAGTCAATTAATCGTTATGGGGATCTTTGGTTTTCTCAAAGCACTAGATCTTTAGTTTCTTTTCTGGACACGTTTGAAGAAGAAGCACAAGTCAAAAACTACATTTGAGATATTTCTCTGCATTGAGGATTTTCCACGAGCACGGTGTAATTGAATCATATTTTGACACGTCACTACTTTTAAGGCATGGAAAGACATACCACAACTTCTCTTCGTGTTATTCAACTATTCATGAAACGGCGGTTACTACGAATCCCAGCCATAGTTCGCTTTCCTTTGCTTCCTTTTTACTGGCCAAGGCTATTTGAAAGTTTTCTTTTTGTTTATTTATTTTTTATTTTTCCTTCGTCATTTTGCTGTTTGAACCGCCTGGTGATAGATTGTGCTAACCTCGGTGGCCGGTAACTTCGGTGCCTTGTGGGAGATTCTATCGAATCCCCTTTAGGCTGTAACTGAATGAGTCTTGGGTGTAAACTGTAAAGTTAAGTCGATCGTTTCATATAGATGGCATTGATCGTTAAGGCTTAAGGCATCTGAGAACTCATTGTTTTGAGCTAAACCTCAATCTCCGTTGCTGTGTTTCTCCTTTTAACCCTGAGCATTTTCAAATTATTTTTTGTTGTTAGCTTGCAACGTGCATTATAATCTCTTCTTTATTCGTTTAATTGTAATGAGTTGTAAAAGTTGATTGGGTATGTTTTCTGATTATCAATAAGCAGCAATGTACTGCAAAGGATTTCCAGCAGGAGACAATATTCCTTGGAGTTTGCTTGCTTGACAGATTCCTTAGTAAAGGATACTTTAAAAGTAGAAGGAGTCTTCAGATCGTTGGAATAGCCTGTCTTGCGTTGGCCATAAGAATTGAAGAAAATCAGCCGTATAACAGGTGACTAGCTAGTCGCACTCTTTCGATGAACCTCTTTAAAGGAACATAGAAAATAACGATGGGAACTTGTTAGATTGTTTTAACATGCTTTATTACAGCCCACTGTGGCCTAGGCCAATGGAAAAGGTTAAAATAACCTTAGAATGAGGGTCATAGTTCCTTTTGAGTTGAATTTTTTTTTTTCTGACGAAAGGACCTTGCTAAACTAAATTTATGTGTGGCTATACATATGTCAGTGTGCGGCAAAAGAATTTTTGCATGGGAAGCAACACGTACAGCAGAAATGAAGTGGTGGCCATGGAATGGCTGGTGATGGAGGTTCTCAACTTCCAATGTTTCCTGCCTACCATATATAACTTCCTGTGGTACACTTTTTCCTCCCAAGTCCCAAGAACGTAGTGTTCAACACATTTAGACTCAAACGCTGATGCACGTTCTTTTGACTTTTTCCTTTAATTATTTATTCTATGAACACTACGTGCTGCAATTTTTGATTTATTTTCCTAAAACTATCTTAGGTTCTACCTGAGAGCAGCCAAGGCTGATGCAGAGGTCGAAAAGCGGGCCAAGTATCTAGCAGTGCTTGCACTGTCAGACCACGAACAGCTGCGTTATTGGCCATCAACTGTTGCGGCCGGGGTCGTCATAATGGCTTCTATGGATGGCAATCTACATGCATCATATCACCAAGTCATTGAGGTAACAAAATATTACAATCAGGATGTGCTGTTGAAAGATGTAGAAGCTTCGAATTGCCTCATGAAACAGAGATAGGCAGATAATTTTTGCCCCTCGTCGATAATCTTATGCAGATAATTATACACGATAATATCACTAAAAGCAAGGCACAGTACCGCCTTATGTTCTACAGAGGGTTGAAACAGGATAAATATTTTATTTTAGCTTGCAAAACTATAATTATCCTTTTTGAATTTAATTACTAATTTCTACACCAATAATTAAGTAAATACTTATATTGAGAACGATATAATGTAACTATTTGTCACACATTTTGCAGTACTATCTTAACTTGATCATTGTTCTCCTTGAAGAATATCTTCAGAATGTCTTTGTATTAGCACTAATCTATATACCGATATACATTAAAAATCTCCGGCAATCTTAATACTCTTGTCTGTTTTGCAGATTCATATGAGAACCAAAGATAATGATTTGCCTGAATGCATGATGGTATGGTCACTACATGATGGAATTATGTTGTAAAATAATTTTCTTTTGCATCATCTGCCTGATAGTGCTGCTGGTTCCTAATTATGTATTTATAATATTCATTTGCCATTTTTTCCTTCTGCTCTGCTTCATATTTATCATTGATACATTATTAAATTCACTGATAATGTCGACTAAACAGAGCTTGGACTGGTTGGTACAGTATGTAAACTAGCATAACGGCAGAGAAAGGAACCTGAACATCATTTACCATTACCACTTTTTCCTCCTCAACAAAAGCATATGGTTGGAAGCTAGGTGGCTGAGACCTTAGCAAAGCCCGATCAACCAGCGGGTACAGGTAACAAAATTTGCACCCTCCCCCGAAAACCAAAAAATCGGGTAATGGAAACAATATTCCTTTCCAACTTACTGTTGAAGGATAGTTGTTGTAAGCTGTTCATAATTGTAGTGGAAGCTCATGTGAAGTAAAATACACAACTATATTTTTTCTGCATGCTCAATAACTGCAAATGCAGTGTTGTGCTAAAAAACATTTTGTCACTATGCCTGCAATGACAAAATTATATAGCTGTAGCAATAAGACTGCCTTGTTTTTGTTTTTCTTGGTGTTTCCTCTCATGCTCTTTACGTTAGTGTAGTAATTAGTAGAAATTATATTAAATCTTGCTCTTACATTAGCTGCTGGATTTGGGTGCAACAGTTCTGGAGTCAACTATTATTTGGGATTAACTAATAACTTCGAAACTAGGTAAAAGGCAAACATTTTGATTACTGTTACAGCTCACTGAAAATGTTCTGTTAGTATTTGCCAGTGAAGAGTACAAATTACAACTTCTTAAACCTCGGGAAAAGTTTAAGACAGCTGTTCAAAGACAGTTATTCAACGGTTTCATCATTTCTTCTCAAAAAGAAAAGAAAAGAAAAAGAAAAATAACAAGACACCTATAAGAAAGGCCTTAAAAAGATATTTCAATAGATTCCTGTTGTCTGCACTACTTTCTTTCTGATGTCATAAACCTATTCTCTCAAGCTTCATAGCCAGCCAAATGTTGTTTTAGCAAGTTTTACCGCTTCTTATTTGTACAGCACCAAGCTCAATTGAAATGTAAATATAATTTCTAATTGTGAATTTATGGCATGTTTTGCTGCGTCAGGGAATAGATCAAGTACTTTGTAGCAGATAACTAAAAAAAGTTAAACATAATATCTAAGAAAATTTCTAATTATATAAAAAAATTTAAATAAATTTTTATATTTTTATTAAATTTAACTAAATTTTTATATTTTTATTTTAAATTAAATAAATTTTTATATTTTTAATTAAAATATTATTTATTATTTTATATTATATAATATTAATTTGACATATTCATATATATAATAAATAATAATATAACAAATTAATATAATATTGTATCATGATTATATCATATTTTTTATCTTTCACAACAATATCATATCAATATCATATAAATAAAAAATAATAATAAATATTTTAATTAATAATAATTAATTAATTATTAATTATAAAAAATTATTTAATTTAAAATAAAAATACAAAAATTTAATCAAAAGTAATAAAAAACTTAAAACTTAAATTTTTTATGAAAATTTCAAAATTTGTTTTTGAGATTATGTCAACAAAATTATTAAGGCTTCATGAAATCATTCCTAAGTATAATTTAAGGAGCAAAAAATTGCTAGCCTCCAATGCGCAAATCAGAAGTGCTATGTTTTGCTCAAAGCACGATAAAAAATTTGTCGAAGATTAGTATCATATTCACTTGGCATCTCATAGATCCAGATGCTGATAAAAGAGTTTTTGACACAGATCAAAGCACACATTCAGAAATTCATCTGAATTACAATCTCGTGTGACAGTGTATTGTACAACAGAAAGGAGGGAAAAGAAGGAAAGAATCAAGGCATTCAAGGAAAATGAAAATTCAAAAGCAATCATATCATTCCAAGCTTACTATCAGTTGAATCAACTGGAACGATTGGAGGCTCTGCTGCTGAAGATTCATCAAGATGGAGCTGTGCAAAGTCACTGATGATCCCCGTTCTCTCCTTGTAAATGATCTCCTTCTTTTCCTCTTCCGCCTTTTCAACCTTCTCCTTCGTCAACATGCCCACATCCTCAGCTGCCTTTGCGACTGCACTAAATGCGTTTGAAAGCCACAGAGCTCCCGTAGATACATAACGGTTGCTCATAATGGCAGTTCCTGCACTACTTGCCTTCTGCTCAGCAACGGCAAAGGCGGATTTTGTCTTTTCAGACACTTGGAATATCTCATCCATCTCTCTCATCTTTTCATTTACCACAGCTGTCCCAATGCTTAGCTTTTCACTCAGACCCATTTTCTGATCAATAGAAGTGACTGCAGCAGAGGCATTTGATGTCAAGTGATGCCGTTCATCAAATACTTTTGCCTTGTTGATAGCATCCTTTCCCAAGACAAAGCCCTTGGCAAGCATGGTGCTTATCACATCTTCAGCCTTCTTCACAGTAGAATCAGTAACAGCTGGCTTTTCCTCCTTCATAAAGCAATTGCACAATGACAGAAAAGCATAACATAGTGAATATGCAATAATTCACTTCTTCCTTTGAATTCTCATGGATGCACAACAACAAACATGCCCTTCCCTTATTCACACTGAGGGAAAACTGGAAAAGAGATATATGCACACACTAGAAGACTCAAAATAGCAGAATATTTCCAGCTGGTAAGCTTCGGTGCTAGTTCAGTTGATGTGTTCTTATAATAAATTGCAAACAGGCTAACACCAGACTAGTCCAACAATAATGTTACAATGGGTTAAAACTTTATTAGTAACATATATTCACAACAAGCATCCCAGTGTTTCAATTTACTGTCCACCAACTATCTTCACAAAAGGCTCATTCAAAGATTTGAAAGACATTAAGGCCAACCATCATAAAACCAGGTAGTTTTGAAGTATGAGTAGACATGCATTTACTATCTTAATTATCATATGCACCTAAAAAACACAGAATCTGGCATTCACCATGTAATCCTGACAACCAAGGGATAGCAAATATTATTAATATTATTACTTCACCGAAGCATGTAATGTACAGCATTAAATTGCATATAATCATCCTTATGGTTTAAAGGAGGAATTTACCATGTTTGACACAAGAGCTTCAGGGGGAAGCTGGTAATCCTCAACAGGTGTGATATTGACAGAAAGATCGACTATTGTAGCACCCTGAATCAATCAATAAGTCAAAAACTTATTCAAAATGAGTATTCTGCTCACGTAAGTTAAGTTGCAAGCAAGCATGTAAGGCTGCAAATTGAAAGTCAAGCAGCTACACTAGAGGAGTGATTCTCTTGTGGAACCAGCTCATGTCTTAACTTTTAAGCACATGACACAGGCAATGCTGATGACAACATCACAAAGAACAGACATTGAAACTTCCAATCAAAGACCATTATTTCTGACTGTTTCCAGAATTTTCCATGTAAATCACTAAAGCTGATATCCTTAGATATCCAGATGCCTATGATAACGCTTTTGCCCAGTGATACTATCTATAAATGTGAAACTTTCCAAGGAGACATAAGCATAAAAATTTTAATGTTCGCTAACTAACATACAGTCAAAAGCATTGCTGTATCTGCTCCTTGTGAATCCTTGAAGGTAACATAAGCAACCTGAGCATTTTCAGTCTCCCTGCAAAATTCAGTACAATATTTCTGAAGGATGACTTGTCCAAACAAACCAGTTGCACTCCAATCAATAGTACCCACCTTCGCATTTCAACATATTGAATATCACCAGAGAAAGAAAAAAATTCTTTGATATCCCTCTGAGAAGCAGCTAGAGAAATGTTACTGACCTTAACTGTTCTTATCTGTACAGAACAAAAAAAAGAGCAGATAAATATATGCCAGCATCTCTAACAAGGAAACATTGCTTTGAAATTTAGGGTTATTAACCTATACACTGGTAGTGGAGTTTGAAGATGCCACAAGCAGTTTTTTTATCTTAACCACGTGTCCATTTAACCTAGCTTAATAATTTCACAACTAAACAAATTGATTCCTTATATACAATTAAATGGACATGTAGCAAAGACATAAACCTGCTTGTGGAGTCTTAGGATTCTACTGCCAGTGTATATCATAATAATCAGACTCATCAAACATTTTAAGATAACACTTATATGATTCCATGAAATGTGGCATCATGGCACAACTTTATGTAAAAACTCTTTCCATACAAACCAAAGAAGTCAAAAGAAGTAAACTGATAGTTCCAACTGGAATCGAGATAAAAAAAATTTTCTTTCTCTCTCCTCTGATCAACCACAAAATCTTGAAATGCAAAAACAATTAAAATTCATTTCACAGCTATTTCAATACTACTTTATCAAAAAGATGCAAAAAATACTCTAATTTAAAAGTCTAAAAAAGTTTAACTATAGCAAATGATGATCAACAGAGCTCTATTGTTAATAGCACCAACCAAAACAAATTTAAAAACATTTTTTCCTCACATCTGAAACATTGATTGTCCAGTTCGCTGTACCATTTGTCTGTGGAATGGCTCCAAGACTCTGATTAGTATGGTCCAGTGGAACCTGCATATGCAATGATCAATTAGGAGTTTGAGATTAAAGCAGAGAAGCTCTACTTGGTAAGAAAAGTAATTTCAAGTTATAATAGCAAGAGATAACTAGAGATATGATTGACATGGATATACTAAACGAATAAGACAAATGTACATGAAAACCAGGTTCAAGATTATTCAACCACAGAATTCATAAAAAGTAAAAGGATAAAACAGATAAAATTTCACTCTTTCCTTCTACCAAGAAAATTGCTCATCTCTACTTGCTACATCAAAGCAAATAACGCTGAACTGTTGGCAGAATGCTTTGGGATCATAACATCAATCGTAATTGAATCATATATTTAAGTATCGAAAGGGAAACCATCCACATAATTTGCTTTGGAGATTTTATGCTTCCTCAAGTAACCAGCTTTTATCTTATTTTTAAGATCAATATATAGCTCTCACCAGGCTTTTATACTGATCCTATCTGAGCCTACAAACTAATACCAAATATACTACTTAGAATTACCACACTTCATACTATATAACAAAAGATGCATAAACTAGATATAGCAAAAAATGTAATTTTAAAGGCAAACCTACAAATGTTAATGACATGACCATCAAACCCAAGTGCCACATAACGATCAGGACAAGTTACAATCTTTCTGGGTGGAATCATCAAATTTACATTCTTGTTTACAGGTCAATTTATAATTTCTATATATATCAGTCCCCATACTCCACGATTTGCTTCCAAGAAAGTTAAAGAGAGTATCCAACTGAATATTTGCATTTAAGTTATTTTCATAACCCAAGAACTATAATGAGGTCAACTATAAAAACCCAAAGAACCATTTGGCTCTAGTAAAGATAAACTCAAAAGTCCAGTCTTTATGGTCTCATTTTTCCTACATTTTCCCGGCAACCAAACAGAACAACACCCATATTTCGCTTTCATGAAGTCTTGTCTTTTTTTTTCCAAAAAAAGAAGTTGTTGGATCTAACTAAGCAAAGGGTCACATCCATCAAAACCATAAATACTAAAGGAATTTACTTACCGACATCTATAGACTGTAGGAAGAATTCCCTCGAAGATTTACAAAGAACCGAAGAACGTCAATGGAACAATGTAGCTTAAGGAAACCAAAGAAATCTGGATTGGAATTTTGATTGGAAGAGAAAGGAAAGTTCCGATGAAGGCAGGGGCGTCTTTATCTAGCGTGAAATATGCGGGCAGATTTCTTAGAAGCGCGTTGAGTCTTGCCCCTTTTTTCACTTTCAGCTGTAAAAACTGGATAATGTCTCTTTCCCTTCTCCTTTTACGAAAAATACTTTATCCTAATTTGCTTTTGTAATGAAACATGCTTTTTAATTTGATTAACTTATTAAATTCCAAATAAATAGTACAAGTAATACTCTTTGGGTTGTGCTTTCCTTTTCTCTTTTTATTTTTAAATTTTTTTAAAATTATCTGTTCCTTTTTTTAATATTTAATATTTTATTTTTATAATATCTAAAATTATTTTTCATATATTTTTTACATTTTGGTATTAAAACTTATGGATTATCAACTTTATAAAAATATTTTTAATTTTTAATATAAAATACATTCAAAATTTTAAAGTTAAAATACTCGTTAATTTTAAGATATTCGAATCCAAATTTTATTAAGTTTTAAGATATTCAAACCTCATAACTATCCAAATATTTTTAAAATTTACTTTCCGATCTCTAATACATACTCACTATCTGATAATTACCTAAATCTGTTTAAAATTTTAATTATGTTCAAAAATTTTATTTAATTATGTTCAAAAATTTTATTTAATTCTTTATAAGTATACAATTATCAGAACTTGAATCCATCTTATATCCATATACGATTAAATTATATTTCACAATTACATCTATATTCCACACAATTTACTAATAATTAAATTTATAAAAACATATAAACAATAAAATTACAAATTTACAATAATAATTGTTTAATTTAAATTTATAAAAGCAGACAAACAATAACTATATTCTAATCTCATAATCTCTCTTTATATATATATATATATTATATTATAAGTTTATGTAAACAAACGTAAATATATTTATAATTAATAATTTTTATAAGTTATAGTTTTTATAAGGTTAACACAAATAGAAAGTAAATATATTTATATTAAAAGTATATATATAATAGTAATTATATTCTTTATAACTTAACATAATATATAAAAAATGCATATATATTGAAAGATATTATATAAATAAATTAACATAATTTATAAAATTATAAAATTATTTTAATCTCACAACCTCTTTTTAAGTATATATACTATTATAAGTTTACATAAATAAAAGTATATTTATTATAACTAATAATTTTATAAATTATAATTTTTGTAAAGTATAAAATAGAAAATAAATAGATTTATATTGAAAATATATATAAAATAGTAATTATATTTCTTATAATACAATAGGACATTCATACTATTTAAACATAACTGAAAATCTAATATTTTTTTAATATAAGTATATTAATGACACCATATTAATAATATGACTAAAAATCATGTATCATTAATATATCTATCAATTTCTACCAAAATAAATTATTCACAAAGTTGGTAAAAATGCTAATACACAAGTTCAAATTCAACAAAATTTTACATATTTAATTAAATTATCTATATATAAATGCGTATAGAATAAGGTTTGGGTACATATATTATATATTATATAAATAATAACAAAATATATAGATGGGTATAGGGTTCGGTCCAGGTACATTTATTATACATTATATAAATAATAATAAAATATATAAATGGGTATAAATTTTGAACTCGAGTACATTTATTATATATTATATAAATAATAATAAAATATTATATAAATTGATATAGAGTTCAAGTAGTGGGTAGCTAAAGAGTGGTACTTAAACTCAATACGGGCAAAAAAATTACTATCCGAATTTAATTATAGGGTAATCTAATCTTATATAATTAGGTTGGGTATTCTTGAGTACCTTGTAGTAGGGTACTTACTGATATCGCTGATTAAAATTATTTTTTTAAAACTCAATAAAAGTTAAAGAAAATAAAAAATTTGAAATAAAAAGTAATTGCCAAGTAAATAGAAGTTACTAGTTTTACATGTTTTACATTTTAAGTAATTATTATTTTTAACTTTTAAAAAAGTAATCATAATTTTGAATTAATTTAAATATATTTATCCATCAAAACAAATTACATGAAACTTTTCCTTATCCTTTTTCTTTTAAGCCAATAAAATTTCTCCTGTTTGCTCAAATTATAGTAGTCAATTAGTCTTTGTTTGGGAATTACAAGGAAAAATAGGAGAAAGGGAGAGTTGAAAGCAAAGGAGAATGTTTCTATGGAAATAGCATATGCTATTAAAACGTAAAAGGTATAATATTTTTAAAAAATATGAAATTATTTCAAAATTTTAAATAAATTTTTATTATTATATTAAGTTTAATAAAGTTTTCATAAGTTTATAATTAATGATTAATTAACTATTATTAATCAAAATATTACTTGTCATTTTATGTTGTTTACTAC